TTTATTCTTCTCTTGCAACTACATGACACATCGTAGCCGGCGCTGCTGTACGATACGCCGTATTTTTTGTAGAGCGTGCACATTCACAAGCGTTGGGAACATTGCCTACAGCAATAGGGCGCATCGTTTGTCGCGCTTGTTCAACAGATAGAAGTGGTGTAGAGCATCAAGCTGTAGAATCATCACAACTGTTAGGGATTGGTCATTGCATCAGACAGCAATATGTACTGTAGTCTCATACATCGTCCGTCGTATCACTACGAAATAGTGAAGGTATTTTTCAAAACAAGTTATTTTGCGTGTGCTATGCATACAGCAGTAGACAACACATACATGTACTGCGTTATTGCCCATTATTTTTCTGAAGATATGCATGCATGCAGATATCTATTAAAAAAAACGAGGTCTGTCTGCGGTGACGCAATAACGGGGACTGCGCGATCCACACAGCCTCCCACTGTTCTACCTTAGTCATGTTATGTACCTGTCTGTGCGTCCTTGCAGGTCACGGATGCAATGCACGGGACAAAGTTGGTCTAAATATGCTACTGGGTGATGTGCACAACCATACAACAATATCAGTGTCCGAGAAAGGCCAGCCCGGAATGCGCGATGATGATAGTCGTTGCGGTATGACACACACACACAACAGCCTCCCTCTGCTGTGCAGCAGATGGGCATCGCGCCCTTTACGTGTTGGCCACTGCACGTAACCGTGACACAGCGACCGTGAAAACTCGTCGACGTCACGACAGCAAGGCAGTACATTGAGGAATAATTCGGAAAAGAAATGAATCTCACTGTTCCTACTTTTCGTGTCGATTTTTCCGGAGAGGAATCTCAGGTTGTTGGCCGGTGCATGATTATGTTCCGAAGACGTGTTCGTTTCTTCAATGTCATGGGGAGTCTTCGGAACACAACACATACTTTGTGATATTCCATCGGCAGCAGAACGATGTGTCCTCCACATATTGATTTTCGAACTCTTTGGGAAAATCGGAAAGGACCGAGCTATTTGGAGACTGCATGTACTCGTGCAGACTACGATGTCAGAAATGAAGGAGTAGAGGCGCCAATATTTTTGTGCTTGTGATCCACGACCGATCGTGGTGTAGAATGGGATGTTGTCTTTGTCGGGAGAGAAGGCCTGACTGAGTCGCGCCATGCCAACCCACCATGCGTACATGGCATTTAAATGTATGACAATATCGTAGGTACGCGAAATATTCCGAAAATGAGTTACTTGTAGAGCCATCACATGCTTATACAGTATGTGTATACATAAAATTATCATGGGCTGTAGCTGTGGGAGAACCTTCGATGCGCTACGGGCGCTCACATCTTCTAGATTTTCCAAAGATCCATGTTGTATTCCAAGAGTTATCAAATGAAGATCATCACCCACCTCCCGTCCAAGCGCCCACACTGATCACCACTCCTCACTCTCCTCCACACCCACTCGTCACCCTCCTTCCAGCCCCACCCGCCGCACACTGGTCACTCGCCTCCACACCTGTTCTCCCACACATAGCAGTTCCCGGGCCGATCATCGACCAGAGAGCGGTGAGTTCACTCACCCAGTCCTGTGAAATATGGCTTGTGTTCGTTCGTCCCATCTATTCTGGCCCCGGTGTACAGGCCTATCGAGGTACATGTACTTTCTGTGTGTGTTTTTATTATTCCTTAAATGTACATTCCTGACGCATCAGCCCGGGTTACACAAGGAAAAGGCCACAAAGGAGCTTTTTCATGTTCTTGTGTTATTTGCCTCACCTCTCTCCTGCGGTGTTTGCCTTAGTTTTTGTCGCGAGCAGGTTCAGCCATCCCTTTCCCTCGCCTCGTCGACGGTGAAGCCGAAGTGTGTTCACTCACGACCTAGACTAAATGTTTATCGCTTTCCACTACAGGTTGCCGGGAACAGTAGGATATCCCGGGAAAAAGCCCTCTGGAGGGAGAATCGAACCCTTGGGGCATTTAATATTCCCAATCGGTTCCTTGTGTAGAGTGTCTTGTAAATTATCGCCTGGTCGCAAAGCACCTGTATCCATTTACGTATGAAGTTGGAACAGCGTGCGTGTTTATCCCGTGAATATATAGACAGTCGACAAGCCCTCAACGAACAAACTGACTAGCTTACGGCCATATCGACGTGTTGGGATCAATTCGGAGCACCACATCGATGCCGAATCCTTGCTGATTGAGTGAACCAAAATGTCACTATATCAACCCAACCTCTACTGTCACACAAAAACAGAGCAACAGTATCAACCCAGGTTCGATGCATATTACCGAACCAGAGCACTGATGAGGCCTCAGGTGCCAAGCGTCGCCGCTCTCTCAATAATCGAAAGCCACATCAACCATGATTGCCTTCCATCAGCAGCCCATCGTTCAGTAGATGGAAAACCAAAATGGTTGCTTGAACAATGTCTGGTGCATCTATCTTTCCCGTCAAGAACTCAAGTAGGGTGAAGCATTTCCCCCCACCCACTGGGGGCGGGCGGGGCATACGGTGAATGAGGTCGAGCAGTTCTGCGAGAACGGTCGACGTGCGCCGCGCGTCTATGGTCGATGCTGACAATCAATTTGTGCGGAGCCTTTCCACCATTTCATTTCGTGTGCGTAATGTATAGTTGTGTTCAAGGAATTCATTCGTCCCGTACAACCAAGACGCACGTCACTAATTCATCCCGAACGATTCACATACATCCCTTTTCTCGCGTTAGAGTTTTGACGATAGCACCGACTGTATCATGATGTACAGCGGTAACTGCTGCAGGAAGAAGAGAATATTTGTGACCCGAGAAACAAAGAATGAAGGGGATATATATACAAACATTCGTGGTCCCCATGGGGATGAAGCAAACGAAAGAAGAGTCGGTATTGAGTGTGCGAGGTACATAATTACACTAAATGGCTGTAAGGTGTTGTGCTGATTGAGTGAACGTATTGGTCACTCTATCAACCCGAGGTTTACTACTATGCAAACCCAGAGCAGCAGTATCACCCCAGGTTTGATGCATACTACCGAACCAGACCCCACCGCCCTGGCAAATTCTTTTCGATAAATGCGCAATCCAAACACCACTAACCCGCCATGGGACACCCATGGGACACCCATGGGCCGCCCATGGGCGCATTATTGGATGCCCATGGTATGCCAATGGGCGGTCCACTGGGCGGCCCATCAAGTGCCCACGGTGGGCACTTCAACATAGAACTTCGCCGCCGGCGTATCACCCTCGAACTTAGCCACGTTCACATCAACCTTGAACTTGACAACGAGCGCTTACCTAGCAGTGGGCTTGGGGTTCGGGTGACGGTTTGCGAAAAGGTTATTAGCCGCTATAGGGCCCGTTCCAAAGCATATAATCTAGTGTTTAGAAGTACACTGCCTCGTTCGGTTGAAGGGCTCTCATTGGCTGCCCATGGGCTTCTCTTAAGATGTTCATGGGCCGCCCACGGCCTGCCCACGGGCTACGCATAGGTGTCCCATGGGTCGTTTGGGAAAACTGTAGAATGTGTGGGAGACTCTACATGCGCCGAGACTGTCACCTTAGTCCTCAGTGCCGCGAGCCCGGGTTACTTCCTTGCAAGACATGGAAGTTTCGCATGCTGTGCATGCCATTGACCACGCGCCCTCGACAGGACAGACCACTGTTTTTGTTCCCACAGGACGGTTACCGATGGCCAATCGTTCCTGCCTACTTTGCCAAAGGTGGCTCAAGAATGTCTTCCTTACGTAGTCTATCGATCCCATCGATATCACCTCCCGCCTTTCCAACCCACTTGTTACGCCCCATACGGCTACCGTCTTTTCCTGGCCATTCCATCCCTCAAACATCTCGCTGTACCTTCCGTCTACTCAGTCATGTACACTTCTCTCTCCTTGTACAACGAACACTCCGCAACTACATGAACCTAGTCTTCGCACTCAACGTTGCAATCCCATTTGAACTTGTCGTCTTCATCGTCTACCTTCGGAAATCTTCGTCTACGTCCTCGAAGGCCAATGTCCCCGGTCCTGAATTTGACCTTCAGCTTTGTCCCTGAATCCCTTGGTCCATGTAGGTACTCCTTGAACCCTGTTCCTTCTTTCAATCCATACACTTCTAGACCTTTGGATTCTGTCCTTAGATTATGTTCATTTCTTTCGGCTTAGGGTTAGGGTTATTCTGTTCATTTCTCTCGGCACAAGCAACAGATATCTTCTCCTTGAACCCCTCTAGACCCTCTGTTTCCAGCGTTCCACCTTCTTCGTCCATTTCGAACCCCTTCCATACGTCCTGTACAACCTTGACCCATTCCGTGGGTTGTACAAGTACACCCGTCTTCTTGTTTGCCCACTTCGCCTCCAAGGTAATTCTCGGCAACCTCTCCTCTCCCACACCTCTGCCATGTCAGCGAAAGGCGGTACGTAGGGCAGGCGCTTTTCCCTCAGTATTATATTGTAAACTCCTAAATAGACCGGGGCGCACCTCTAAACCAAGTTGTTCTATCCAATATTCTCACTCCAAACGAAAGCTGAAAGTATGCTAAAATCAAGATGAACGCATCATAAGCTCTTCTGCTATATTTGAATGCATAATACGTTTAAACATGCACAGAACGGAAGCCAGCTTGGCATGGGCGTGCCTGGTCCGAGATAAAATTCGCAAAACATGAGATATTCGGGAAGTCAAAAGGAGGCCACGCGAACCGTGTAGCCCCACGTCACCGTTATGTTAGTTCGCCCCCCCCCCCCCCCCTCGTAGGATGGCTCTTCAAAGCCGTATCCGTGCTCGCCCAAAATCGGATGGTGCACGTCGAATGACGGAACGGCAAGGTTTCGACGTCAATCAGCAACAAGACATTCCAGGAGGTCCAGAAGGCCAGTGGATGTTCCTCGCATCGTTCACTTTACCGTATGCAGAATGAAGTTCGTTTGGTGGAAGCCCACAAGCCTCTTCTGCAACCCTTGGCCTCGCGCGCCCGCTTCCTTGTCCAATCGGCAGAGAACCATGAAGCTGGCGGCTCACATCATCAAGGCCATCCTCGCCGTCTGCATCGGACCGCTGCTTCTGGCTCCCACTGTCTCCGCTAGGACCTCCTCGGCCTTCGCCGACGCCGAAAACTCGTTCTACGACTACAGCGGCGATGAATTTGAACTAGTCAAGAATTTCGACTTCAATCAGTGCGACTACAACACGTGGATGTGCTGCTGGGACGGCAGGAATGGACTAGCTGTAAAAGACAACACGGTAAGACGTGACAAAATGCCGTCCGTTTTCAGGGCGGCGCTTGCCACACACCCTTTGTAGACTTCGTCGCGTTGAACGAGCCACAGGCTCGATGAGACGCCGTACCCCCCCACCACCAATAGCGATGATTCTCGCTGTTCGTGTTTATATTCGGAATTCTACAAATACATGTCAACGCCACCATAGTGACAATGACACCCTTGATGTACGTCGTCACGCGCAAGCACAGGACGTTCATGTGAATATGGTGCTCAATTGCTGATGTTTTCTCCCGCATTTCTACGCGCAGGATGTCTGCAGCTACAGAGGCGAAGAGTTCCCCGGGGATTCCGAAGGGCCTGTGCACTGCCACGGGTTTGTGTGGCCTGAGAACGCGAGCGACGACTTCATCAAATATTTGGCGCTGGACGTCGCTTTCATCAACCACGTGGACGAGAAGGCCTACACCGGAAAGTGAGTCTGCGCAGGTTATGTTGATGAGTATGTGGTGCGTCGGGTTTACTACATTGAAAGACACTTTCACAAGCAATCAGCAGGTAGGTGCGTGTTGCCAATTCTGGTCGAATCGTTCGATACCCAACAGTCCACCCACATGCGCCGTCCCTTCTGCGATACCCACATACATCTCGTTGACACCCGGCCCCATCCTCTCCGCCTCCCGCCATGTTTTCAACTTGTTCTCCAACCCAGCATTCCGGGGGCTCCAGTGTGCCACTGCTTGGAAGAGATGCCAGAGGTATCTCGGGCCGATTGCACCCAGTACAGGAAAGCTAATCTGGCCGGAAGCGACTTCATGGCGTGCTCGAAAAACGATCTCAGGCGCGCGTACAAGGAGTTGTACCCGACTGGTCGCGGCCGAGACCTACTTGTCAAAAAGTGTGACAACCGTTACGGTATGTAGGTTCATTGGGTCTTCTGGCTTGACGTGGTGCATAGACTAAGCCTGCGGCTGCTTGTTCCCAAGATGTGTTCGGAGGAAGACCTGCCGCAGTGGCGGTTGCCGTTGGTCTCCGTGTGTAGTACTGTTCCCCATGCTGGGTCCTTTCCCCCGTTGCACGCGGGTTTCTGTTTTGTACTACTGCATGGATCTCTACGGCTCATGATGGGACATGTACGTAGAGAACGTCTCTGTGGCAATATTCTGTACACTTCGAGTTACACCTTGTCGTAGGTAGCCCACAGGGTCGAAGGATAGTTGCCATACGGCATCGTAGCAGGCTTCCGGTAGAGCGGAAGAGAGAGAAGAGGCTTGGCTGAAACCGGGCCCCAATTGGGGAACAAGTGGGTGCAACTTCTTTGCGCTCCAGATATACCTGGTAAAACGTTGGGTGGGGGGAGGGGGGTGCTGCTGGGCATCCTTTAGACGACTTGGTGCACCGAATGTTTGTTCGGTTTGGTATTTCCGTGTTGTTCGTGCCTCCTACAGTAGACAGTGATATTGGTGCCTCTTTGCATGGTACATGTTTATCTAGTAAAGTCATTCATTAGTGTGTATTTGTTGAGTTTGTATGTTGTCTGCATGGTAAGACCTTGCCTCCTGGGACGTGCTGTTGCGTCGAGGACAGGTAAACGCTTAGCGAGTCGTACCTTTTGCTGCATCATATTCTGTATTGTAAGATTGTTGTCCTCTAGGCTGACTGGTTCGATGCCTCCTCGGACCTGCACTATTAGACTATTGCTCAGGCAAGGGTCGGTGTAATGGATCAACTGGAAGTAAAGAATGAGTTTGTGAAATTATTCGGCGCTCTGTCTTTCATGGTACGCTATGTGTTGCTGACGCGCGGTTGAGTGGTGTGTGTTGCAGTGTTTGGCACTACCATGGCTTCAGTATTAAGTAGCCAGTTTGACTCGTTCAAATACTATCAGTCAATGTCGCTATGTCATGTCGTAGATAAAATTCCGTGTGGCCTGTCATATTCGGAATAAGGAAACATAGTGGTTGATGGTCTAGTCTATGTTCCATATCCAGGTTATGATGAAAGTTTGTTGTCGAAGACCGAACATATAGTTTATTGTGCACGGAAGAATTCGGAACATCTCCCAGATCTACGTGTGTGTTTGGGTTCTTGTTGTGCCGCCCTGGAGGCGCGTTGGTTCGGATGTCTTGGTTCGGTTTTCTGGGGTCCCAAAAAGAGACTGGTCTCACGGAGTTCTCATTCTTCTGCCTCGCTGCTCCTGCGGCAAATGTTTGATAGACGCTTGTCCACTGGACCCAAGGGCCACGTTGTGAGAAAGACATAATATGTACCATGCAACCCGCTTTGGAGTCACGCGGCAGAAGGGCAGCAGCTAGCTGCATCGAAATTTGGACGATAGCTAGCAATCATGTCGTGGCTTTTCTCTCACTGGGCTGAGGGACGAGGGCGGGATGATGATGAAGCATGCTTGGCCGGAGCTCACTGCCGCGCAGGGGACTGCTACTACTCTGGAACCCAACACCCCGTGTGGTATGTGCTTTCGTATCAAATCCCATCATGGGTTGGCAGAATCACTCATCTTATGACAGCAGTACTGCCACCGTGTGAGCGGTGCAACTCCGACGTAGTCTATATATATGCAATTAATTTCGGATGTATCCATACGACGCCGCCACATGAGATCACACAACAAGCGCCTTCGCCCGTAGTCTACTCAACGATCTGCCGTGCGTGGTGCTATTTGTACGAGGATCGTGCGTGAGCTACTCTTGCCTGCCTCGCCAACGCGCGGTTTCTGCAATCGTACCACACGACAAGCAGCAACTCTATCTATGTTGCACATATGCATTCATCGAGAGGCCCCTTTGTACGGGAGGGCGTGTACTGTAGTCGTCTGGGTTATGCGTACTCTACCCTCAGACCGCTCCTCAACCGAATACACTGAATATGATACAACGCCCGCATGGAAATGTAGGTTCGGGGAGACTGTTTCGAGACAGCAGGCACGGTACATGACACAAGATAACACACCCCCTGGGCCGATTGTTCAACGAAAATCGTGTACACACATTCATGCACACCAAGAAATGTCATAGAACGCTGCGAGAAAGCAATCGTGTGCCCGAAAACGTACGCACAGATGCATATACATGCACTCATACTAATAACACGTGGATGTATGCGCTCGTTATAAAACGATGTATACGTGCGCTGCGTGTGGGGCGTTCTGCAACATCCTTGACAATAAGTCGCTTGTACGGTGCCCTGCTACTAAGTGTGTGGCTGGCTTCGGCCACCGCCGCACTCTCAGTAGGTTAGTCGGATCCGGAGTGCAAAAATTAATACTGCGTGACAATTCGCTTGTACGGTGCCCTCTTACTGAGTGTGTGGCTGGGTTAGGCCACCGCCGCACTCTCAGTAGGTCAGTCGGATCCGGAGTGCAAAAATTGATACTGCTTGACACAATACGTCGCTTGTACGGTGCCCTCTTACTGAGCGCGAGGCTGGCTTCGGCCACCGCCGCACTCTCAGTAGGGTCAGTCGGATCCGGAGCACAAATACACACAATAGTCACTTCTACGGTGCCCTGCTACTGAGTGTGTGGCTGGCTTCGACCACCGCCGCACTCTCAGTAGGTTAGTCGGATCCGGAGTGCAAATACACACAATAGTCACTTGTACGGTGCCCTGCTACTGAGTGTGTGGCTGGCTTCGACCACCGCCGCACTCCCAGTAGGTCAGTCGGATCCGGAGTGCAAATACTAATAATAGTCACTTCTACGGTGCCCTGTTACTGAGTGTGTGGCTGGCTTCGACCACCGCCGCACTCGCAGTAGGTCAGTCGGATCCGGAGTGCAAATACTAATAATAGTCACTTGTACGGTGCCCTGTTACTGAGTGTGTGGCTGGCTTCGACCACCGCCGCACTCTCCGTAGGTTAGTCTGATCCGGAGTGCAAAGTTCATATTGCTTGACACAATATGTCGCTTGTACGGTGCCCTGTTACTGAGCGCGAGGCTGGCTTCGGCCACCGCCGCACTCTCAGTAGGTCAGTCTGATCCGGAGCTCGAATACAAACAATAGTCACTTGTATGGTGCCCTGCTACTGAGTGTGTGGCTGGCTTCGACCACCGCCGCACTCTCAGTAGGTTAGTCGGATCCGGAGTGCAAATACAAATAATAGTCACTTGTACGGTGCCCTCTTACTCAGTGTGTGGCTGACCACCGCCGCACTCTCAGCAGGTCAGTCGGATCCGGAACTCGAATACAAATAATATTCACTTGTACGGTGCCCTGCTACTGAGTGTGTGGCTGGCTTCGACCACCGCCGCACTCTCAGTAGGTTAGTCGGATCCGGAGTGCAAAAATTTATTAGTGCTTGACACAATACGTCGCGTGTACGGTGCCCTGCTACTAAGCGCGAGGGGCTTCGACCACCGCCGCACTCTCAGTAGGTCAGTCGGATCCGGAACTCGAATACAAACAACAGTCACTTGTACGGTGCCCTGCTACTGAGTGTGTGGCTGGCTTCGACCACCGCCGCACTCTCAGTAGGTCAGTCGGATCCGGAGTGCAAATACTAATAATAGTCACTTGTACGGTGCCCTGTTACTGAGTGTGTGGCTGGCTTCGACCACCGCCGCACTCTCCGAAAGTTAGTCGGATCCGGAGTGCAAAGGTTTAATACTGCTTGACACAATACGTCGCTTGTACGGTGCCCTCTTACTGAGCGCGAGGCTGGCTTCGGCCGCCGCCGCACTCTCACTAGGTTAGTCGGATCCGGAGCACAAATGCACACAATAGTCACTTGTACGGTGCCCTGCTACTGAGTGTGAGGCTGGCTTCGACCACCGCCGCACTCTCAGTAGATCAGTCGAATCCGGAGTGCAAATACACACAATAGTCACTTGTACGGTGCCCTGCTACTGAGTGTGTGGCTGGCTTCGACCACCGCCGCACTCTCAGGAGGTCAGTCGGATCCGGAGTGCAAATACTAATAATAGTCACTTGTACGGTGCCCTGCTACTGAGTGTGTGGCTGGCTTCGACCACCGCCGCACTCTCAGTAGGTCAGTCGGATCCGGAGTGCAAATACTAATAATAGTCACTTGTACGGTGCCCTCCTACTGAGTGTGTGGCTGGCTTCGGCCACCGCCGCACTCTCAGTAGGTCAGTCGGATCCGGAACTCGAGTACAAACAATGGTCACTTGTACGGTGCCCTGTTACTGAGTGTGTGGCTGGCTTCGACCACCGCCGCACTCTCAGTAGGTTAGTCGGATCCGGAGTGCAAATACACACAATAGTCACTTGTACGGTGCCCTCTTACTGAGTGTGTGGCTGGCTTCGGCCACCGCCGCACTCCCAGTAGGTCAGTCGGATCCGGAGTGCAAATACTAATAATAGTCACTTGTACGGTGCCCTGCTACTGAGTGTGTGGCTGGCTTCGACCACCGCCGCACTCTCAGTAGGTCAGTCGGATCCGGAGTGCAAATACAAATAATATTCACTTGTACGGTGCCCTCTTACTGAGTGTGTGGCTGGCTTCGACCACCGCCGCACTCTCCGTAAGTTAGTCGGATCCGGAGTGCAAAGGTTTAATACTTCTTGACACAATACGTCGCTTGTACGGTGCCCTCTTACTGAGCGCGAGGCTGGCTTCGACCACCGCCGCACTCTCAGTAGGTCAGTCGGATCCGGAGCTCGAATACAAACAATGGTCACTTGTACGGTGCCCTGTTACTGAGTATGTGGCTGGCTTCGACCACCGCCGCACTCTCAGTAGGTTAGTCGGATCCGGAGTGCAAATACTAATAGTAGTCACTTGTACGGTGCCCTCTTACTGAGTGTGTGGCTGACCACCGCCGCACTCTCAGTAGGTCAGTCGGATCCGGAGTGCAAATACTAATAATAGTCACTTGTACGGTGCCCTCTTACTGAGTGTGTGGCTGACCACCGCCGCACTCTCAGCAGGTTAGTCGGATCCG